TTCATTTGGGAAGATACCTGATAGAGTAAAAAATTATTTAATTAGACATATAATTGCAAAAAAGAATCATGCTGGAGTTTCCTTTATTAAATAAGCTAAATGATACAGCTATCAAAGCTACAATGTCTGGTGACGTCACTATTTGGTTTAACAATACATTTTGTTTGCATTTACCTTTTCTACTATAATTGCAGTCAATAAAAACTAAGAAACTTCCATGAAAATGAGTGTACAAACTGTTACTTGCCCATTAAAGGTGCTGAACTGCTGATGTTATCTCCATCAAAAACATTAGAACCTTTTGTATATGAAGACAATGATATAAGGTGGACAGTGAGTGTTTTCCTTTCTCGAGTTGTTCTCTTTAGGTGAATAGTTATCTTGTGGTGAGCTTTCACAACTATGTGCATAATACGCCTAACTCACTCTCATATTGTACATACAAAGCAACAACAACATCCAACTATATCAAGAACCAATTTTTTGGTTAGTTAAGAACCATATATAGGAAATGTACTTTACTTTCATAAGAGATAGACATTTTCAAATTGAAAGTAGCAACATCTCCTTGATCCATGACAGACCGTCCACTCGAATCCTGAACAAAATCCAAAAAATATATCAAAATTGGTCAGACAACATGTTAATCTCATATCCAATCCTTTATCTCAATGTCTTAGAAGTGTTGGAAAATTAATTTAATTAATTTCCAAAAATGGATTTTCTCCATTTTTGAGCACAAATTTTGGACTCTAAATATAATCAAAACGAGTTATTGATTATATATTCGTGTTCTCCTCCGTGATATCTACGTTTCGATATATCACACGCCCAAAACGGATTAAAAATGAATGGGAAATTACTTGTCAAAGTAGAGCAATTGGAAGAGAAAATAAAAGAGTTAAGTGGGTTTAAAACTCATCCCACATTGGTGGGAGAATGAAAAGGAAATTGGTTTATAACTACAAAGACTAGTTACCTTTGTAAGACTTATTAGAACCAAGGCTCTCTCTTGCGCGCGCACGCAGGGGGGGTGCAAATGCGAGCCAAATTGGCTTCGGGCTACTGAACTTGTGTGCGAGCGCGCGTCCTGCGGGCACGAATGCACCACCGGTCGACCAGAAAAAGTTCAAGGGCCTTTTTTGCATTTTTTCCTTTTGGTTAACAGTTACAAAACCGAATTAAGAGCAATTAATCATAGATTTCGGTTTTGATTTCTTGATTAATTTTCTTATTTAATTGTGGCAGTTACGATTTCGTTTTAATTGCATCGGTTACATTGGATAGTATATATACAGTGCATATGTGACTGAATCCATACACCGGATGAAACGAAATCATTCTCTTCATCTCTTACGCTTCTGCTTCATCTTTTCTCTCCTGCTGCAACCAAGGTATCATTCGGGCCAAGTGAGGGTTCGGGCAATCTAGAAGAATTGCTTTCTACTATTGTATCCTGGGAAACAAACACCCATATAGGGCGAATTTGTTTTAAGGAAACTGTGTTAAACACAAGCCTCAGTCAAGAACTTTTTGGATTTTGTTCTTTCGCACAATTTTGGGTTATATTTTCCTAACAGTCGTTTGTGCGAAACGAACTTGGAAAAAAAATATTTGTTTATGATTCGTCTTTAAGTGTTTATAAAAACGAATTTTTTTCTCTACATAACAATTGCAGAATCTGTTTTCAGAAATCGTTTTCTAAGACATTTTCTGCTTCTTCTGTTTTCTGTTTAAGTTTATTGCATCCATAATGTGTTACTGTTTTCAGAAATTGTTTTCTAAAACAATTTTCAGATTCTTTCTTTTGTTTCACAGTTTTTCAGAACCTGCTTTCTGGAAACAGACAATATTTAACAGTTTAGTGGTTACTGAATTTTAATCTTTAACAGTTTTATATTTGCTTCCTTTTGTAGTATGACTACTAGTGAAGGTTCCCAACCACCAAAGCCTAATGGAACTCCTAATGCTCAAGGATCTCCAATGATGACCATGCCGGTCAATCATGCTGAGAAACCTGAGAAGTTCTCTGGACTGGACTTTAAGAGGTGGCAGCAGAAGATGCTCTTCTATCTTACCACATTGAATCTTGCTAGATTCTTAACTGAAGAGGCTCCTCGGATGCCCGAAGGAGAAGGAGATGTGCAAGCTTTAACTACTATTGATGCTTGGAAACATTCTGATTTCTTGTGTAGGAATTATGTTCTTAATGGCCTTGTTGATTCACTTTATAATGTGTATTGTGTAACAAAGACAGCCAAAGAACTATGGGACTCATTGGACAAAAAGTATAAAACTGAAGATGCCGGGACAAAGAAATTTGTGGTTGCCCAATTTCTTGACTATAAAATGGTGGATGACAAAACTGTTATGTCCCAAGTGCAAAAACTACAAGTCCTCCTACATGACATACATGCCGAGGGTATGGGGTTGAATGAGCCTTTTTCTGTTGCTTCCATGATTGAGAAGCTACCCCCTAGTTGGGTTGATTTGAAAAATTACTTGAAACATAAGAGAAAGGAAATGTCCATTGAGGACCTTATTGTTCGCCTTCGAATTGAAGAGGACAATAAGATAGCTCAAAAGAGTAGTTATACCCCTACTTCTGAGAAAGCTAATGTGGTGGAGCATGGTCAAACTTCTGGGAAGAATAAATTTGGAAAGGGCAAATTCCAAAAGAAAGGCAAGGGTTCAAACTTGGGAGCCAAAGGTGGAACTTTTAAGAAAAAGTTTCAAGGAAACTGCCATAACTGTGACCAACGGGGTCATCGGGCTGCAAATTGCAAGCTTCCAAAGAAGGCTAAGGAGGCAAATGTTGTGGAGAAGATAACCAAAGATGTGTCTGACATCGATCTTGCAGCGGTTATTTCTGAAGTTAATCTTGTGGAGTCCAATCCAAGGGAGTGGTGGATTGATACGGGAGCTAGCCGTCATGTTTGCTCAAATAGAGAATGGTTCAGAAACTTCAAGGTTGTGGATAATGGTGACAAGCTGTTCATGGAAAACTCGGTCACTTCTGATATCCAAGGTGTTGGAAAGATTGTGTTGAAGATGACGTCGGGAAGAGAGCTGACGTTGAATGATGTGTTGTATGTACCCGAAATTCGTAAGAATCTTGTGTCGGGTTGGTTGTTGAACAAGAATGGTTTTCGCTTGGTGTTTGAGTCAGATAAATTTGTGTTAACCAAAAATGGTGTGTATGTGGGTAAGGGGTATGCTGATAGGGGTATGTTCAAACTTTGTGTAATGGCTCTTAAGCCAAGTGACAATGATAATGAAATGAATAACTCTTCTACTTACTTGCTTGAGTCTTCAAATATATGGCATGATAGATTAGGACATGTTAATTTTGATACTCTTGTCGTCTAATTAAACTCAATCACATACCACACTTTCACATTGACTCAAAATACAAATGCAACACTTGTGTTGAATCGAAATTAACACGACAATCTTTCAAGTCCATTCAAAGGACAACCGAACCACTTGGATTAATTCACACCGATGTGTGTGACATGAAATCAATTCCATCTAAAGGTGGAAATAAGTACTTTATTACTTTTATTGATGATTGCACTAAATTATGCTATGTCTATTTACTTAAAAGTAAAGATGAGGCTATAGAGAAGTTTAAAGTGTATAAAAATGAAGTTGAGAATCAACTTAATAAGAAAATTAAAGTACTAAGAAGTGACCGTGAAGGTGAATATGTATCACCGTTTGAGGAATTCTGTGCAACTCATGGTATCATACATGAGTTTACTGCACCTTATTCACCACAACAAAATGGTATGGCAGAAAGGAAAAATTGGACCTTAAATGAAATGATGAATGCCATGTTGTTAAGTTCTGGGCTGCCACCCTCAATGTGGGGGGAAGCTATACTTTCAGCTAACTACCTTTTAAATAAGGTCCCACGAAAGAAATCGGATAAAACACCATACGAGTTATGGTCAGGTATAAAACCATCCTACAAATACCTTCGAGTGTGGGGGTGCCTTGCAAAGGTCGTGGTACCTGCACCCAAGGTGGTGAAGATAGGACCCAAGACTGTTGATTGCATATTTGTTGGATATGCACAAAACAGTAGTGCGTATCGATTTCTTGTACATGACTCAAAAATTCCAGAAATTCACAAAGGCACAATAATGGAGTCAAGAAATGCATCGTTCTTTGAGAATGTGTTTCCATGTCTTCATAAGGTTGAGACAAATGCTTCAAAGTTAATTGAGCACAATGAATCCTCTTATGAAGAAGAAATAGAGGAAGAAACAGAGCCCCGTAGAAGTAAAAGGGCACGAGTGGAGAAGTCGTTTGGAGATAATTTCTACACTTACATGGTTGAAAGAGAGCCTCAAACTTTCAAAGAGGCAGTCACCTCCTCAGAAGGACCTCAATGGAAAGAGGCAATTAAAAGCGAAATGGATTCAATCTTGCAAAACCATACATGGGATCTAGTGGATTTACCTCAAGGTTGCAAACCACTAGGCTATAAATGGATTTTCAAGAAGAAAATGAAAGCGGATGGAACCATTGACAAGTACAAGGCAAGACTAGTAATTAAAGGCTATAGACAGAAAAGTGGCCTTGATTATTTTGATACATACTCTCCTGTCACACGTATTACATCCATTAGATTGGTACTTGCAATCGCTTCTATAAGAAATCTTGAAGTACATCAAATGGATGTTAAAACAACTTTTTTAAATGGGGATTTAGAAGAAGAAATCTACATGGAATAACCAGAAGGGTATGTTGCCCCAGGAAAAGGATCAAAGGTTTGCAAACTAGTGAAGTCATTATATGGGTTGAAACAAGCCCCAAAACAATGGCATCAAAAGTTTGACCATGTGATGTTGGAAAATGGATACAAGATTAATGAATGTGACAAGTGTGTTTATGTTAAAAACACAAGTGAGGGTTATGTTATCTTGTGCCTTTATGTTGATGATATGCTTATTGTTGGGAGCAACGATAAAATGGTTCAATAAACAAAGAACATGCTAAAGGCAAGATTCGACATGAAAGATATGGGTCTGGCAGACGTCATCCTTGGTGTGAAAATCACAAGGACTGAAAATGGACTTACTTTGAATCAAACCCATTATGTGGATAAAATTCTTGAGAAGTTCAACTCTGGTGATACTACTGTAGCTAGCACACCAATTGATACAAGTCATCGTCTAAGTAAAAATAGAGGTGAAGGGCTTACACAAGTCGAATATGCAAGAATCATTGGTAGTTTGATGTACCTTATGAGTTGTACCAGACCCGACTTAGCTTTTGCAATAAGTAGACTAAGTAGATATACCAGTAATCCAAGTGCTGAACACTGGAAGTGTATTAAAAGATTATTACAATACTTAAGGTACACTCACAATTATGGGTTGCACTATACAAGATATCCCGAGGTCATAGAAGGGTATAGTGATGTAAATTGGATATCTAACATTAAAGACTCCAAGTCAACCAGCGGGTTTTTGTTCACACTTGGAGGTGGAGCTATATCATGGAAATCTTCAAAACAAACAGTTATAGCTAGATCCACCATGGAATCTAAATTTATAGCACTTGATAAAAGTGGAGAAGAAGCTGAATGGCTACGACAATTTTTGGAAGATATACCAGGTTGGCCTAAACCAGTTTCTGCAATCTCAATCCATTGCGATAGTCAATCGGCAATTGGACGAGCGCAAAGTGCTATGTATAATGGTAAGTCTCGACACCTCCGTCGAAGACACAACACCATTTGATAACTACTCTCAACAGGAGTTATCTCAATTGACTACATAAGGTCCAAGGATAACATTGCGGATCCGCTAACCAAAGGGTTAAACAGGGAGTTAGTTGCAAAATCGTCAAAAGGAATGGGATTAAAACCCATGAACGAATAAGTTATTGTGAAGGAAAACCCAACCTAGTTGACTGGAGATCCCAAGATCTAGGTTCAATGGGACAACCTACTTGCATATAACATATGTGGATCACTGTGGGGGTCAACACCAACCCATTCCTATAAATAACAGTGATGCAGGTTAAGCTTATAGTAGTTGGTGATAAGTTGGAAATCATCAAGCTTTAGCTTTTAATGATTAGGATATAATCACCTATGTGAGAGAGAAGTGGGGTCGCTTCAAAGGGAATTGAATGGGCAAGTTCCTAAGAGCCCTTACAGAACCAGGCAAGTGTCCACGACCAAAACGGACACATCCACGAGAACCTAACTAGGTCAGGGAGAATCATGTGAGACATGTATTGATTATTTACACAAATGGCAGAACAGTTCAAGGACATCGAGTCTACTGGCCCGCTAGTAAAATAAATATGTATCTTAAGTGAAGGTTCAAAGGGTCATACCTACCTATCCTGTGCATGATTCAACTGCTGGATTTTACCTAAAGCAGCTTGGAATTGCGGATGCTGAAGCAATTTTCATTCATGTGGGGGATTGTTGGAAAATTAATTTAATTAATTTCCAAAAATGGATTTTCTCCATTTTTGAGCACAAAATTTGGACTCTAAATATAATCAAAACGAGTTATTGATTATGTATTCGTGTTCTCCTCCGTGATATCTACATTTCGATATATCACACGTCCAAAACGGATTAAAAATGAATGGGAAATTACTTGTCAAAGTAGAGCAATTGGAAGAGAAAATAAAAGAGTTAAGTGGGTTTAAAACTCATCCCACATTGGTGGGAGAATGAAAAGGAAATTGGTTTATAACTACAAAGACTAGCTACCTTTGTAAGACTTATTAGAACCAAGGCTCTCTCTTGCGCGCGCACGCAGGGGGGTGCAAATGCGAGCCAAATTGGCTTCGGGCTACTGAACTTGTGTGCGAGCGCGCGTCCTGTGGGCACAAATGCACCACCGGTCGACCAGAAAAGTTCAAGGACCTTTTTTGCATTTTTTTTCCTTTTGGTTAACAGTTACAAAACCGAATTAAGAGCAATTAATCATAGATTTCGGTTTTGATTTCTTGATTAATTTTCTTATTTAATTGTGACAGTTACGATTTCGTTTTAATTGCATCGGTTACATTGGATAGTATATATACAGTGCATATGTCACTGATTCCATACACCGGATGAAACGAAATCATTATCTTCATCTCTTACGCTTCTGCTTCATCTTTTCTCTCCTGCTGCAACCAAGGTATCATCCGGGCCAAGTGAGGGTTCGGGCAATCTAGAAGAATTGCTTTCTACTATTGTATCCTGGGAAACAAACACCCATATAGGGCGAATTTGTTTTAAGGAAACTGTGTTAAACACAGGCCTCAGTCAAGAATTTTTTGGATTTTGTTCTTTCGCACAGTTTTGGGTTATATTTTCCTAACAAGAAGAGCCTCCGACGAACCATGATGTATTTTAAAGGAATATGGCTAGTTGGATACTATATGTCCAAGTATCTAGTCTTTCAAAAAGCTCATGCATACCCAACTCAAACTTTTCTTGGACCTGCAACATAAAAATGATACAAAATCAGGCTCCCAAACATTAAATGTAAGACATGAGGTAAATTAATTAAATTAAACAAACCTTATGCAGATATGTATCAGAACCAAGTATCTATTTGTTCAAAAAACTCCCTTAATCACCCATGGCTGAAAGTACTTTCAAAGCACAAGAGCTGAAGGTCTTCAAAAAGCAACAGGAAATCCATGGCAGCATGGCTTCTGAAAAACCATTAAATCCCCAATTCACTCAGATCTAGTACTTTTTATTTCTCTGTTACCCCTATTTTTCAGCTTCCAATCAACTAAATTGCATAAAACAAACAACAAATCTAGCTCTTCTCAAAACTTACTATTGATAACAAAAGAAAATACAATTATCTAAAACACTAACAGTTGATAACCAGAGAAAAAACAACAATCTAATACACGATAAGACATAAGCTTAAGCCCTTGATGTTGGGGGGTTACCTGGATGAGAAAAGGAACAAAGATTAAAGAGAGAAAAAAACCTTTGTATCTTAATCAGCAAAAACAATATATAGGGGTACTTTGTTGAGAAAAGAAAGAAAATGATGGTGTTGTGCAGATTTGCTTTAAGCATATGTTAAAACAAACAAAAAACCCTACATAGATGAAAATATGTCAGGTGTTTTGTTTTTTTAAGTGCAGAAGCAAAAACCATGGAGTTCCAAGATCAAACCCTAATCACAAAACATACGCATATACCATGAAATAGAGAAAAATAAAAAAAAACTACAGAGGCAAAGTGAAGCACTTAGAGATATGCTCAAAACATGTTTTCAAGCTCGTTTCTCAAGCTCCTTTCTCTGTTTCTCACCCAACATCGGAAGCATTAAATACGTTTTGGGTATGATAAGAATTAAAGAGGATTAGGGCTTGATTCATGGTGAGAACATTACTTTCTTACCCGAGCAGGTTTGACCCATATTTTATTGGCTCGCCTTTGAGGGCTTGATTCAAGGATAGAGAGAAGATTAGCGATACCATAGAAGTTTTCATGGTGGCGTAGGGGTGTGCGGCTGTGAGTGGTGTGGGGTGTGACGGTGACGATGTTGGTGAAGAAGGGGTCCAATACTCCATAGATCTATAAAAGCCTGAAAATTCATCATTCCATCATTAAAATTAAAAAAATCTTGTGTAGTACCTTTCAAAAACAGAGAAAGGTACATGGATCAAGATGAACATCTGGCTTGCTTCTCCTTCGCTTCTTATAGAACAAATTACCTGACATTACATAACAAAATTAGGTTATTTTAGTAGAAATGCATGCTTATTTCCTTCTGGAACAAAATAATGGATTCAATTCGCACATGTATTTTGTCGCTTTGAATTTTTGGGCGACAAACACTACAGTGGAGGAGAAAGAGACGATAGTCGATCCCCATAACCAAAAAGAAAAATAAAATATTATCGATGAATACCTGGAGATTGGGAGAAGCGTCAAATATATACGCAAACCTCAACGGATTTCCCCCTAAATCTGATACCCCCAAAACACAGGAGGAGAAAGAAGCCTCGATTGTGAGGAATACCGGGTGAGAGCTGCATCTTTAGGGTTCTGAGTTTTTAGACACGATAGAGAGAACGTGTGTTTACATAGAAAAATTGATGATTTCAAATGAGGGAGGGGAGAGATATTCATCTGTAATGAGGGTTTTAATTGAGAGATAGAGAGAAAGCGAATCGTTGGATTCAATTACGGAGAAACAAAGGATGTATATATGTTGGATTCAACTTTTCGTCTTCAACCCACCATAGATCTAACCTGCAACCAATCGAAACAGTAAACGAAATGATTAGAAGAAACTAAAATCAAAACTATATACAAAAAAACACTCATCAATGGTAAATAGAGGTAGATGGTCGTGTTTAGGGTTTTTATTAGAGGTAGCAGAGAGAGATGAAGGAAGGCTGAGAGAGAAGTTCAAAGAAGGATTCGGAAGCAGCCATATTTGCCGAAATCTCAGTATTCAACGTAGACTCAATCAAATTAAGGGATGGATCAATTCTTCTATGCATCAAATATTTGCACCTTCAGTTATAAAGTTTGGATTATTTTAAATATAATATTATTTGATGATTACTTGTACTATTAGCTTAAAAGTTTGGACGTCTTAAAAAAATAATATTATTATATTCGATCTATTTATAAAAATTGTGAGATTTCTTTTATAAGATAGTATATATATATATATATATATATATATATATATATATATATATATATATATATATATATATATATATATATATATATATAGAAAGAGAGAGAGAGAGAGAGAGAGAAGTGAATATGGGGTTGTTATGTACGTAATATGTGTGAAACTTTTTAAAACTACATCCTTTTGAATCAAATTATAACTACACATCTTTAGTATCTTCTAATTTTGTTTAAAATCCGCATTTCTACCTTTATTTTAGGTATACACAACTTCTTTCTATCTATAAGATATCTTCATCTTCAATGTTTAAAAGCCGGAAGTTCATTTAGTTATATTTATTTAAGAAAGTGATAGTTTATTTTCTATAGTTTCTTCATAAAAAGAACGTAGATGGTTTATTTAATAAATAAGATGAATTATATTTCTTCACTTTATGTAAAAAGTGATGATACAGATTCTTCGGTAACAAATTTTTTATTTCTATTAATCAATGTAATTGGATGCATTTACTTCAATATTTAACCTGTTGGAATTGTTCATTGGTATATATCTCAACGACGATCCTTGTACCAAAATTGTATTTTTCTAGATATATTAACTCGATTCAATTATAAAAATATTTGTTAACTAAGAATCAAATTGAATAATTATTTTCTTTAAATAAATTGAAAAAATAAACCCCATGTTAAAATCAAGAGAAATTAAATAACCTCCTACTTTTTCTTTCTATTTATCTTCCTACCTATGTAAAATGAAAGTGTCATATTTTGATAAAATTAATTATATATTAGGACACTTGTCATCATTTCAAATGAGTAGGAAGATATTTAGGAAGAAAAGTAAAATGATATTTAATTTTTCTAAAATCAATATTGAAGATCACATTTGGAAGAAAAAATGAATTGTGTAAATGGAATTGGATTAATTGCGGAGCGGATACAAATTGCAAAGCTAATTGGTGCAAATCTTACTAAACTTTAGGAATTCAATTTTCAAAATAGTATTAAATCACTCTATAGTAATTATATTTTGATACAAAATAACGTAGTTTTGGATAGTTCCACACTTAACCTTAGATACACTAAATAAAATGAAGACGTGAAGAC